TGCAACCAGATCATTTTAGCTCTCCTCTTGGCTTTTGCAAGATGATTACGGTGTAGGAATTGAGGTCAGTTCCAATAATTTCATGTACCTGGGATGATAATTAAATAGTCTTTTAGACTATTTTGGACTCAATTACTCTATCTTCTTAGCGAAAATTCCTCAGTTAAGCATCCTGTACCACAAAAAGAAAAAAAGGCACAAGACCTCTTGCCAGGATGAGCCTGAAATGGGTGACAGGTTGTGTTTGTCAAATCAGCCAGCCAGCTATACATTGCCATCACACCACTGATGGTGGCTGGGGAATGTTTCCTGACACAGTTTGAGTCTAGATTCTCAGGTATACACAGTCTGCAGGTGTTCATTATCCCACAGAGCCTGTAACTCAACTGCACTGGTCATTTACAAAATAAGAAATCTTTCTGCATTTTTATGATGTACTGCATTTTACAATGTATATTTAAAAAAAATCATTGAGAAAGCAAAGGCATGTCCCTAAGATTTTCCAATGCACATCTGTAAAGCTTGTGGGTAGGATTCACAGTGTTCCCTCTGTATAACTATCTGAAATCTTATGATCCATGTTAAACATGACAAAAATAGGAAGAAAATAACTAACTACTTCAGAGGTAAAACTAACATTCTTCATTCCCCAGCCTAGTATTACCTTCTGTCTTCCATAGAACTGGCATTTCATACTTGATTTAACTCACAGTTCTAATTTCTAATCTCATAACTGGTTTTAAATTACTTTCAAATTGAATATTAAATGCCTTCAATACTAATGCATTCAACTCTTCACCTGCAGCACCAGCAAGAGAAGTTCTGCACAATACCTTGTGAGCAAGAGCCATTAAACAACTTTCTTCTTTTCTGCTTAGCTTTACCCCTGTTAGAATCCAGTACTTACTAAATTCCCTTCCACGAAGCTCACACACAAACCCCACCAACAAGTGGGTGTGAAGGCGCAGGCTAAAAGCCCAAGGAGAGCAGGATGGAGAGCAGCCTTCCCCAGGGATGAAGAGCTCGTTTGCACAGACACGCTAACAGCGGCTGCCATCTGCCGGCTAGAAAAACAAAGTTTAAAAAAAAAAAAAATCATCCCTCAAAGAAACAAACCTCCTGATCTGAATTCAAACTTTGACATACCCTTTTTGGCCTGCTGGAGCAAATGTGTCTGCTCTCAGCTTCCTCGGACACATGCTGTGGGAGGACAAGCACATGGGGCAAAGCTGGGAGGCTGCAGAGCGGAGCCAGCCCTGACCGGCTCGCAGGGGAGCAACATGAATGTGGGGTGGACTGCAGGGTGCCGTCAATATCTTCTGTTGTAGCCCACAGGACACCTGAAAGATCCAAACCTGAACGTACAGCACAAGACAAACAAGCTGCCCAGCTAGTGTTCTTTTACTGGAATTGCTCCCAGGCAACTAAAAGACTGAAAGTGGCAC